CTGAGATTGTGGAAAAAGCTGTATATTTGTCAGTTCTTATATCTGTGCATGCTTTCTATGGAACATTGCAAATTTTATTGTGAAATCTGATCTCTGGTTTGGTTCCCTTGATCTGTTGAGACCTGGTGAGCAAGTTTTACCTGTAACTGCGCTGAGTTTGTGCTCGAGGCTGGATATTCCAGTAAAAACAAAAACAGGGACAGAACTTACATGACATGAGAGGCACCACTTCTCACAAACTCAGAATGGCTTCAAGGCTAATGGTACACTTTCGAAGCTGTGACAAATCTGGATTATGGGATGGCTACAGTGCAGAAGGAGGCCATTCAGCCCATTGTGTTGGTCTCCTGCCAGAACAGTTCACCTCATACCACTCCCATGCCCTCCATGCACCTCAGCAAAGTTTCTCTTTTCAGGTAATTGACCAATTTCCTTTTGAAAGTGGCAATGGAAGCAGCTTCCAACACATTCTCAGCAAGCGTACTCCAGTTCCTAACCAGCTGCTGTGTGAAACAGTTTCTCCACATCTCAGCTTTAATTCTTCTACCATTCACCTTAAATCACTGTCGTCTGGTTCTCGATTCTTCCACCAGCGGGAACCGTGTCTCTTTCTCTACTCTGTCGACAGCACCATCATGATTTTGAAAAGCTCGATCAAATCTCCTCTCAACCATCTCTTCCCCAAGGAAAACAGACCCATCTTTCTCTTGTCTTTTTCAGAACTGAAGATCCACATTGTTAAACTGTTTTTTGAACCTTTGCTGCATCCTTCACCTCCTGCTGAAAGTGTGATGCTCAGAACTGGGCACAATACTATACTTGTGGCCAAATCAGTGTTTTATGAAGGTTCACCCATAATTTTCTTGCTCTTGTACTCGATGTTTGATTTGATTTGATTTATTACTGTCATGTGTATGAAGTACAGCAAAAAATGTTGACTTATGTGCTTTACAGGCCAACTGTATTATACAAATGCATCAGGGTAACAGAACAGAGTGCAGGATACAGTGTGACAGCTGCTTTTTCTCTATTTATAAATCCATCTGCCTTTCTAACAAGTTTTTCCCTCTGTCCTGCTATCTTCAGTGGGTTGTGCACAAGCACCCCCCCAGGTCCTGTAGTCCTAAGGTTTGATCCTTCTTGTGGTAAAACCCTGTTGGGCCATTCCAATCTCTGTTGAGGGGTTTTTTGGACATCTGCTGCCACACATACCCCACTTGCTGATGGCTCTGTTCCTGATTCTGGTCAAGGCAGTCATTCACAGATCCAGGCAGTGGGACCTTCTTTTCTGGTTTCATCTGCACCTGACTGTACATGGACAGGCAACATACTGAGTATGTCTGACACCTTCTGTAACTGATGGGTACCACAGTAACTGGAATGCATCATCAGCCCCTGTAACGCTATTTTAATTTAATGTGATTTTGGTTAAAGGATAAATATTTTCCAAGGCACTTGTCAAAACAGTGCTCTGAGATCTTTTAGGTTCACCTGTGGAGGATAAACAGGGCCTTATCCAGGGCACCTCCAACAGTGCAGCTTTCCCCCAGCACTGGCATCATGACCATTAGCTTGGAGTAGCCTATGATCCACTTCACAAAAGCTCAGATATACTAACTATTAAATTCCTACTTGAAAGAGATTTTCTGATTTATAATGGGTGTTGAGGGCAAAATCTATCAATTTGAAGAGATACTAAGTTAAGGGTAATAATGAATTGTGAGGATGATGCTGAGCAACTTCAGAGTGACATTGACCAGTTGGCTAAATGGGCAGACACCCGGAAGGTGAATGTCAATGCAGAGAAATGTGAGGTAATGCATTTTGGTCGAAAAAGCATGGAGAGTACAGGCTCAATGGTACAACTTTGAGTGGCGTTCAGGAGCAGAGGGACCTCGGGTTCATGTGCATAATTCCCTGAACATGGCCAGGCAAGTTGCAATAGTTGAAGGCTTAATAGGATCCTGAGTTTATAGCTAGAGGCATAGAGTTTAAAACCAAGGAAGTGATACTACACCTCTACAAGTCAATGGTCAGACCACATTTGGAGTATTGTCTTCAGTTCTGGGCACCTTATTTAAGGAAGGATATTAAAGCCCTGGAGAAAGTTCAAAGGAGATTTACTGGAATGATCCTAGGCAGAGGGTTTTCAGGTAGGAGGAAATATGAGAGATATTGGGCTTATTCTTCTCGGAGCAGAGAAGATTAAAAGGTGACCTTACTGAAATGTTCAAAATTATGAACAATTTTGACAGGGTCAAGAAGGATATTCTGATTCCACTGGATGGAATGTTAGTAATTAAAGGTTACAATTTCAACATTGTCGAGAAAGCTAGGAGTGAGATGAGGAGAAACGTTTCACTCAAACAGTTGTTAGGATTTGGAATGGGAGAGCGGTGGAGGCAGCTTCTGTACAAGGTTTCAGAACAGAGCTGGACATATATTTGAAAGTAATGAATTTAGCGGGCTCTGGAGGTAGGGCTGGAGAATGTGGCTAGCTGGGTAGCTCTTTCAGGAGATGGTACAGACACAGTGGGTCGAATGGCCTGTTTCTGTGCTGTACAGTTCAACAGTTCTATGGCTTTCAGTAAGAACTACAGCTGAACGATTTAGCAATGTGGAACTGTTTGTGCTCTCTCTGTATGTAAACATGGATTGCCTGGGGGGCGAAGCTCATTCGTGCAAGGCATTACCAAGTAGTCATACAGTAGGAGAGAAATTAAGTCTTGAAGCAACTACTGGCTGGAGTTCAGCTTAACTTTTGAGGGTTTGTAAACCTATAATTACATACCTTGGGGTCAATGGAGCATGGGAACAAGGGGAGGCCATTCAATGCTTGTTGCTGTTCTGCTAATTCCCGCATGGCAGATCTATACCTGAACGCCATTTATTTTCCTTTATTCCATATCTTTTGATATCCCTGTCTATAAAAGCCAAGTGAATCTTTACAAAATGTTCAGTTGAACCACCAGACACAGGTTTTTGAGAGAGTGCAGTACGGATTCCTGTTACACAATATGTGAAGAAGTGCTTCCTGACTTCATCCTGTGTTTGGGGTTTAAGATTAATCTTAATGTTTCTCCTCCCACCCCCATTTTGGATTTCACCACCAAACACAGATATTAGGAGCAAGAGTGGGCCCTTCAAACCTGCTGTGCCATTCAATGTGATCATGTCAGATCCTGTACCTCAATGTCATATTCCTGTTTTCTGCATACCCCTTGCTGCCTTCAAAAACTAAAGATACATCTATCTCTTTCTTGAATATACTCGGTGACCTGGCCTTGCTGTTGCAAATTTCATAGGTTGACCACCTTCTGAGTGAAGTTTCCTCTTTCCAGTGCTATATAGCCTATCCTGTATCCTGAATATGTGTCTCCTAGTACTAGACTCCTCAACCAGGGAAGATATCCTTCCTGCAACTGGTCTGTCCTGTCCTATAAGGAGTTTTGCTCTATCAAATCAATCAAATACTTTAATCACCTAAAATGCCAAAAACTATCTCTTAATCTTCTGTACTCAAGCAAATACAACATTATGAAACATTTCCTCCTGGTTTAACCCTTTCAAACCCTTGGCCTTGTTCCCTGCAGCAGTGGTATTCAAGCAGTGTATAGCGACAGGGTGAGAAGTGGGATGGGAAATTTTGGGGAAGCAGCAGCACTTTACCTGGACATCGAGGCTGTGTCATGCTTTTGATCTGTTCGGGAGGTTTGGTGCCTATTATTGAAAACGGTAGCTGCTGGTGCCAGGTGCCCCCATCAACTACTTGTGTTCCTGCAATGACATCCCATAATGTCTCACTATCGCCCATGTTGTTCAGAGGCTGTGAAAATTCTACCCTATCAACTAGTGTTGGAGCTGTTAATTATTTATGTATCTGCCTCAGATATCTGGAATCCCATGTTTTGTTCGATTTCTTACCCAAATTATTTTTACATACATGGATATGCTGTGGAATCGTTTGTCTCATTGGAGTGTGCCCTGAAAAGGTTGGGATCCACAGCCCCCATGAGGGGGACTGGCAGCTGCTGGCATTTGCTACCCTTGCTCTTCCAGGTGGTTTGGAAGGTACTCTCGAAGGAGTTACTGCCACTGTGAGTGAGTTGCTGTGGCACACCTTGTAGATGGTACACATTCCTGTGCATCGCTGGTGTTGGGAATGAATGTTGAACGTACTGTAGTGGATGTGGTGCGATAAACCCCTGGATGGTGGTTTCATATTTGTGTGTGATATTTATCTGTAGAATAATCAGTAAGGTCAAATTTCTTTCCACATTCTTGCAATGATTTGTTTAACCTGTCAGTGAGCTGAGTGGTGAAAGATAGAACGTTGGATCCCAGCCTTTATACAGTTAAACATATGTAGAGCACACACCTGCATAAAAGGCCCCTTTATTCTTTGAATAACCAAACTAAACAAATCAAGTGCAAGTGGTTAGCACTGCTGCCTCACAGCGCCAGGGACCCGGGTTTGATTCCACCCTCGGGTGACTGTCTGTGTGGAGTTTGCACATTCTCCCCATGTCTGCGTGGGTTTCCTCTGGGTGCTCCAGTTTCCTCCCACAGTCCAAAGATGTGCAGGTTAGGTGGATTGGCCATGCTAAATTACCTGTAGTGTTGATGGATCTTAGGTGGGTTGTAGTGTAATGGGTCTGGGTGGGATGCTCTGAGGGTCGGTGTGGACTTTTTGGGCCGAAGGGCCTGTTTCCACACTGTCGGGATTCTATGGGATCTATGAGAATCCCTCAGCTGCATTGTACTCCTTTCTATGTGAGTAGAGGTGAGACCCCAGTTAGTAGCCACCACGTAATCAGATGAATATGCAAGGGGCAGAACGCGTTGCCTCCTGAATCCATTGAAATTGTGAACATTGATGGATATAAGGTGTGGCTTGTTACCTGCACGAGCTAGACTGGCAGGACCCGGGCAATGGGAAGAGGTTGTTAGATATAGAGTGCCCTGCTTCATTTTGCCTCTTTTATCATGCTTCATTCCAGATACAGGAGACATTCTCAAAAAGCAACATGGCCTGCCTGATGGACGACATTGTCAATCTTCATACTGATACCATGGTGGATGAAGAATTCTCTGACTATCCTCATGGGGAGAAAACAGGACGCAATGAGGAGATGTGCTGGCAGTTCCGAGCTCAAATTCGTCAGTTGATAGAAAAGGTACAACATCATCAATCACCATTTGTGTGGTGTGTTAAGTACAGAAAATCCTCCCAATTGGCATTGTGGGACTGTAATCAAACAAAAAGAGCGAGAGCTTTGGACAGGTGACCAAAAGCTTGTTTAGAGAGGTTGCTTTTAAGAAACATTTTAACAATGGAGTGAAAGAGGCGAAGAACTTTATTTGGAAACGTATAATTTTTAAAAATCTTAACTTTGTTGTTAAATTCTTTTACAGACTGTATCCAAGCGATATGAACAGGACATGTCTATAATTGTAAAAGGTAAGTATGTTTTGCTTCTCTTCTCTAAAAAAATGATTTTTAAAATAGTCTTTTTTGATTTTCTTCCATGAGGAGTGTTATGAGTTGCTTCTGTTTTGATGTGTGAGTTTGGAAATAAATTTCTTCTGTCATTACAGAGCTTACACTCTATGTATTGAAAAAATTCTACACCTGAAGTCAGTCTCTTACATGTATGTTATGTCACGCACAGCTCAGTAGATAACGTTCTTATCCCTGAGTTCTTGAAGATAATGTCTTCAAGACCCATTCCAGAATCTTGAGTATGCAGCATAGGCTGGCGGACACTTCCAATAGATCACCAAATGAGTGCTGCACTGCAGGAAGTACCATCTTTTAGATAAGACATTAAAACAATTCCAGCTTTCACTCTCAGGTGGAGGGAGAAAGACCCCAAGGCATTGTTGTGAAGAAGAGCAGTGGAGTTCTTTTAGGTGTCCTGGTCAATAGTTATACCTTAACCAATGTCATTTAAAACATATTCTTTGGTTATTAGCACAGACTTATACAACACAGAAGGGGGTCATTTATTGTGGCACTATTTCGACCACCTCTATTACTGTAAATCACTGCATATATATCATTGCGATGTATAAGATGACCACATTTTTCAGACTCACATACCCAGTGCACAAGTTAACCCTTACTCAGCTGCGATGTTCTGTACTTGAACTAGAATCAGCACCAATGTGTCACCCTACAAATGGATGTTTTAAATACCAGTATTTTATAACTGGGCACAAGGAGTCAAGGCAGCGATACAGGCTATGTTGAGAAAGTAAACATGAGAGTTTAAGGCATGTTGACAAGTGCCGGAGATCACAGCAGGTCAGACAGCATCCATGGAGAGAGAGCAAGCTAACGTTTCGAGTCTAGATGACTCTTCATCAGAGCTGAAGTGAAGTGTGGAGGAGGCAGCATTTTTCCTATAGTTGGGGGTGTGGTGTGGGGGTGCTATCCTGACTAACCCTTGGCCAGTTTGCAGTAATCCTTCTTATTTATCATTACGCGGTGAGATAAACAAAGGGGACAAGAGTCGAGGAAGGTCCAACACAACTTTATTGAATAGTTTATCGAAGAAAAGCAATACTTATCAGACTCTACTATTGTACTTCAAATAAACTCTCTCAAACTCTATCAGTCTCTTCATAAGACTATTCAGTGAACAGTCTCAAATCTACACTAACTACCTACTTCTGTCACGCCCTTCCCAGGATTTGCTACACCCTATCCACAGGTCCCCACCAGTGTATCCGAACTGTCTGTCTGAAAAGACTCTTGTCTAGGGCTGGTTCTGGTCTTCAGGCCATCTCATTGAGGTGATCTGTCCAGACACGTTGTTGAGGAAAGTGCAAAAGCAGAGCAAGCTGTGGCCTGTGTCCAATATTAGCATCGGGAGGGGGGCAGAATGATCCAATGAGGTGACTACTTTCCATATTTAAAGGTCACAGAACGTGGTTTTGAACCTTCAGCTGTAAAGTGCTGTCCTTGTTACACTGTGCCTCTGGCTTCTTACCGTGCTGGGAGCCACCAAGTCTACATAGCATTCTTCTAACAGAGCAGCTTCACTGGAGGTGGAAGCACATATCACCACCATTCTGCCTCCACTCCTCTTTATCAGCAGCTCCCCCTACCCCAACGTCCAGTCCTGAAGAAGGGTAATACCCAAAACGTTGACTGCTCCTTTCCTCCAGAGGCTGCCTGGCTTGCTGTGTTCTTCCAGCCTCCCATTTGTCTACCTTGGAAACAACAGTTTGTTCTGAAACAATGTGGCCATTAGCACAGGGCCAGGCAGTTCCAGGCCTGTCTGGTTTCGACGGGAAGTTGATTGCCCAAGCCCTGACTGTGTGAATACTGTCTGTTCCAGCCCTGCAGTTTGCAAATTGTGGAGTCTGGCGAGATTTAAGCTTGGCTTTCACATTTTGAGGTTCTATCAACGGTCAGGAAAAGTATCAACATTTCTGTAACAGTTGTAGAGGTCATGGGTCACCTGACCAGGCACACCCACACAGAGCAGATCCTGTGTGAAAAACAACAAAGATGACAACCACCCATGCCCACAGTTGTGGCTAACTTATGTATTTGGTTTATAAATCAACTCCTGTTGTGGGAAGAATTTTTCAAGGCTTTAATTTTCTCTGCTATAACTTCAGTTTCTTCAGCTTTTCTGTATAACCAAATTGCCTCATCCCTGGTCCTACTGTATTTGATCTCTTCAGCATTCCATCTGAGGCCTTAGATTATAAAATATAGGATTAAGCAGAAGCCATCAAGCCCTCAAAAATATTCTGTGTTCTATTTTCCCTTCTGAAGTGGACAACTCCATACTTCACCACATTCTACTCGATCTAACATGTTCCCAGCCACTCATTGAAGCTGCTTCGTCCCTTGGCAGTCTTCCTGTACATCCTGTATTGTCAACAAACATGGATATGTTACACCGACTTCCCGTCATCCAAGTTACTGTCCATTAGCCAATCCTCAATCTTTGATAATACTTTGACATCCTTCCTCAAGCCAGCATTTTATAAATGTTTATTTTTATAACTTACTTGCGTTCATGCTGTGTGCCTCTTTTTGTAAAACCAACAATCTCATCGATATGATTTTTCAACAGCCTTTTCAACCTGTCCTGTCAAAGATTTGTAAGTCATGAACCTCAGATCCCTTTTCCTCAGAACTCCTTTAATTTATTTATTTTATATTGTGTGCTTTCATTCTTTTTACCAAAAGCCATCACTTTGCGTTGCTCTGTGCTAAAATTCATCTGCCACATATATATCCATTTTGTTTTTAATATGTGTTCATATGATGCAGATGTCATTACCTATGCCAGCAATTATTGTCCATATGTTCCTCATACCAGTCCCTAGGGAACACAAGGATGTACCTCTTTCCTGTGTGAAAACCAGCTGTTCACCACTGCTCCCTCCTTTCTTTCTGTCTTTGGCTAATTTTGTAAGCATTCCTCATTAATCTCATGCACTTCAATTTTGCTGACAAGCCACTTATGTTATACTTTCCACAAAAGGCACAGAGGGAAGGATAGAGCTAAAGTGGGCACCACATCTATCCCTGAGATAATGTGCGATCTCTTCCTCTTCTTTTAGGTGAAGTGTCTCGTTTGCTTCCATATCTGACTCAATCGCAGTCAGGCACACAGCCAACTGTCCAAAAAATCGCAGCTCATCTGACTGGAAATCATAGGAGCAAGTCAACTCCACCGGGAGGTGAGACTGCTAAGATTCTTCACCAGTAACCTCCCTCAGTAGCAATCAACAGCTTGCAATCTCCTTTGGTGTTGGCCACTTTGCTATCATCTGCAAATTTTAATATTAAATTTGTTCCCGTTTTCTAAACATCAGTGTAGATGGTGAATAACCATGGCCAAAGCAGTGATGATTGCTTTCTGCCTTTCTCCAAACTGATGAACCTTTATTCCAAATCCCTGACCTTTTTTTTAGCCAGTTTGCCGATCACTCAGCTATTTGTTGCCTGACACCACATGCCCTAACCTTATATGTAAGTCTAAAACCCTACTGACCCTGTCTTGCATATACTTAATGACCAAACATCCACAGCTCTCTTGGGCAGAGAATTCTAAAGATTCACAACCCTCTGATTCAAGCAATTTCTCCTCACCTCAGTCCTGAACGACCAACTGCTTATCCTGAACCTTTTGGGAACTAAGGGAAACAAATGATATGGAATAAGCAGGAAAATGCAGTTGAGTGCGAGATCTACGAAAGTTGTATTGATTGCCTGAGCAGGTTTGAGGGGATGAATGGCAATCTCCAGCTTCTGTTATGTTACTGAAATGTGAATTATAAAAGTCTGTAGACTGGAGGAAGATTGGAGAAGAGTGTGGGAAAGAAAACAAAAGAAAATATTTGCACATATGTAGCATCTTTCAATACTGAGGATGTCTTATAGCATTTACAACCAATGATTGTATATTAGGAGCATAGCATAGTCACTATTGCATTATGGAAAGTCTGACAGCCAATTTGCACAACACAAGCTCCCTGAAAGAATGACCAGGGTGGGGGCTGGTGGAAGTAGTTATTGACTAATCTGGTTTTAAGAAGATTTTCCTCACTGAAACTCCCTCACAGCTACCATCGGAAGTGTCAGCTGAGATGATCTGCGGTCTGGGTCTCAAGCCCACAATCTCCTGACTAACAGCTGAGAACATTGCTGACTGGTCCAGGGCTGACAATTATTTACGATAGATTAAGCAATGTCTCTTTAAATAATCATCAGGAAAATTCAGTACGAAACACAGTAAAGTTTGATGTGTTGATACTGCAATCAGTACCTTCGAGAGGAAGAAAGTTTACAACAGAGGTTAGAGGCTGAGTTAAGGGTTGACTGTCTGGTGAGGAAATTTTTGAACCTCCAAGTAAGAACCTGCCACTTACTAGGCTGTGAGGTTTAAATTAAAGTGTGTGTTCTGTAGATTAGGTTTATATTCCGAGGATTAAGAGAACTTTAAAATAAGCCAGGCCATTCAGGGAGAACTTCCTCACTTAGAGGGGAACAGAAATCTGGGACTCCCAAGAAAATCTGCAAACTGAGAAAAATAGGTTCTTTGTTGTGAGAGGGCATTAGGATGTGGATCAACTGTAATCTAATAGAATGGGCCATGTGACCTTCTCCTCCTCCCGTGAATGGAATCTTTATCTTTTTAATAACTTCGGGCACTGGGACAGGTCAGAATCGTGTCAGAAGTTTAATCTTCTCTTGGCTGCCTCTCTCTCCACTGTCCTGTTATGGATGATAGGTTGATGGGTGGGTCTCTGAGAGGCCACAGCTCCAGGAGGATGGTAGTCACACTGGGAAAAATGGGCACTGCTGAGGCAGGGAGGGAAACTTGTGAGCCTCTTGAAATGAAGGGCTTGCCTGAAGCATGCTGAAAATTAAAAAAAAAATGGAAATGTTTGATAGCTGTCAGGAGAACCCATTCGAACAGGATCACCCTGAGGCAGGATCCCACCTCTAAATCTGCCTCTGTACCCGACAAGGCCATATTGAACCTGCTCCACCATTCAGTACCAACATGGCTGAGTTTATGTCTCAACCTCACTTTCCTGCTGGCTATCTGTGAGGCCTTGAGGAGAGGTGATAGTGGAAAGGTCATTGGGCTAGTCATCCAGAGGCCCAGCTTACAATTTAGTTCAAATCCCACCGTGGAATCTAAATTCAGACAGATAAGCTCTGGAATTGGAAATTAGTATCTATAACGGTGAGCATGGTACAGTTTTATGGTGGCCATTAAAGGTCATCTGGTTCACTCATGTTCTTTAGGGAAGGAATTCTGCTGTCCTTACCTGGTCTGGCCAACATGTGACTCCAGACACACAGCAAAATAGCTCTTTCTTAGCTGTCCTCTGAAATGACAGAGCGAACCACTGTGTTCAAGATGGGTAGCAAGCAGTGGCTTTGCCAGGCAAGCCTACATCACATGAAAGGATGTATTAAAATAAAATCTGTCCATCTGTAACTATATTCAACAATCCACAAAAGTCTGAAATTTTAAAGATTCAAAACCCTTTGGAGTGAAGGAATTTCTCTTTCAAGTCCTAAAGGATCAACTCCTCATCCCAAGGCTGTGTCTCCTGTGGTTTGGGTTCCCCAGCCCCTCAGTCTCTTTGTGAAGCCCTTTCTGAATCCTGTCTGTTTCAATGGGATTGTTTCTCATTCGTTTGAACCCCAGACATGATGCGCTGCGTTTGCCTCTGCTGCTAGATCATGAGGCAACTTGAGCCTATGTCACTCAGGATTTTCCATGTTAATGTTGCAGATTCATTGTCAAGACGACTTCAGGGACAGAAAATACAGACGTGGGAGCCACAGCGAGGACAGGCATTTCTGCATAGTGTGGAATACAAAGACGGAGAGCTGATTATCCTGCAAACTGGACTGTATTATATCTACGCTCAGACGTATTTTCGATATCGTGAAATCGCAGGAGAGGGAGACTCCAGTCCACTTTCCAGGAACACTCAGATGATCCAGTATATTTACAAAAATACAGCCTACCCTGACCCCATCCTCTTAATGAAAAACACCAGGACGACATGCTGGGCTAAGAACAGGGAATTTGAGTTGCATTCCATTTACCAGGGCGGCCTGTTTGAACTCAAGTACCTTGACAGAATATTTGTGACTGTCAGCAACATCAGCTGGATTGACATGGCTGATGGATCCAGCTTCTTTGGAGCGTTCCTTGTCAGTTAGACATGCGGGGAAGGAGGAACACAAAAGCCGAAAGTATTTTGAATCCCATTGGATTCACTCCTGATCTCGGTCATGACAGATCTCGCAGGAGCTTGAGGGTGACTGGATTGTGGAGTCAGTCCCCATTCCTCCCTGGGCTCTGGGCTCATGCCTGACTGTTGCTGCTGGCTGTGGAAGTCCAGTAGTCACTGGGGTTGAGCAGCCAAGACCCAGAGTTCAAAGTGAACATTGGGGCCACAACACTGCAGTACCCTCCCATTGGCACGGCATTGGCTATCTCCTTCAGAACTACAGCAAAGATGTGGTGACAGGCAATAGGACTCATAAGGTTAGGGATGTCAGCAGACCAGAGGAAGTTTTACGCTGCATCTAACCTGTGCCCATCCTTCACCCGGGACTGCTTAGTGTTACCACCGAGATGTCAATGTGATCTGTCAATCTGTTCCCAACACATGCATTTGTCATCATGACAAATGGGTCATTTCATGAGCTTGTGAGCCATGGGTGGTCTCATGTGCACATGAAGTGACCCCTGGCCCTCCCTAAAGTGACGCCCCCCCCCCCCGCCTCACTTCTGTGCTTTTTAACATGAAGGTGAGAGCAGGTTTTGGAATCCTTACAGCCCAGCACAAGTTCACAGAAAGTGATGGACTCAAATCAGGAATGCTGCTCAAAAATTTGTCTTAAGCAACAGCCTGAGTGGGACTGAGAACATCAGAAGTTATTGCTGGCATTGCTAACTGCTGTTTTCAGACTGCGCAGGCGCATGACTGATGTAAGGTGCAGTCCAAGTGTGTAAGGGTTGTGTTTATTAAAAGTCTGTGAGGAGCCTTTTGGATTCAGTGTGCACTTTCAACTGATGAGCGAGCATGGGGAATGAGAAAATGAACAGTGTGCAATTTTCCAGTGTGTAGATAAAAAGAAATGTCCTAAATGAAACGTTTTATGTATGTACAGGAAACTTTATTTTTTTACATTCTCAACTGTCTCTTTCAATGATTGTCAAGTATTTCTGGTGCCGTTAGAACAAGAAATGCAAGGAATTCAGGCAAAGAAAGAAAATTCATGAGAGAAAGCCACTAAACATCCCATCCATTTAGTCTCACGGTTGAAAATTCAGAGAGCTCTGCTGAAGTGTGTAACCCTCCCTCCCCCTTGATCGATTTTTCCAACGACATCAGGAGATTCAATCGGGAACAGGGAAGGCAAATTCCAGTTTTCTTCCAGGGCCGTAAACAATTCAAACAAAATTAGGGCAGAGGGCCCCTAAGGGGCACCAAAACAAAAGTGACAACTCCAAAGCAATTGAAGATATTTACATCAAAATATTGCAACAAGGCATTTCGATGAACCTGAATGTAAGAGTGCGAGGGATTATGAAAACTTCCCATCTGCTGGAGGTATTCAGATTGGCTTTATCTACATCCTTTACAGGACTCAGTGCCTAGGAAGGAACAACTGATTGGATTTGGCTGTTACTGTGTCGAGGAACAGAGTCCGTTTGAGCGTCACTCAGAGTGTCAAGCTCAGGAACTCCTCATGCTGCTGTTTCCTCCTGCCCCACTCCCCACTTTGTATTTCTGCATTTAGTCCTTGCCTTGTGTCTGCGCTTCACTACCTCCTGCACCATCCCTGCCAGAACACTCAAAGCCCCTCATACTGGGGTCAAACACACTCGCAACCAGAGCTTGTTAGGGTTTCACAGGAAGTGTTACATAGATGGTGCTGCTTGAATACTGTCATATGGATGTTGGCATAATCTCTTCTGTAAATTTTGATGATGTATGTGTCACATGTGAATGTTTCAAATGCAAATATGATTAAAGTTTTGTTTTAACCATCTCCTGTGTGACTGTTATTATGATTAATTGTTTGGATTACAGGCCGATAGCACAGAGAAACTGTTGCCATAGATCAATAGGGTTGATACGTAAACATCTTCACCTGCTTCATCAATAACTTCCCTCCATGAAATGTTAGAATTGGGGATGTCCATTGATTATTGCACAGTGTTCAGCACCATTCACCATTCCACAGGTACTATGTGTTAGGTCCATATACAACAAAACCTGGATAACATTCAGGTTTAGCCTGGTAAGTGGCCAGGAATATTCACACTATACTACTTCCAGGCAAGCAGTATGTCCAACGGGAGAGAATCTAACCATCTCCCAATGGCAGTACCACTGTTGAATCACTTCCCACTTATCAACACTGTTGAGGTTGCTTGGCTGACTGAGCTGGTTTGTTGTTCCACAGACGTTTCATTACCCTGCTGGGTAACATCATCAGTGCAGCCTCCGATGAAGCGCCGTTGTGTTTTCCTGCCTGGTTTTTAAACTCTGGAGGCTGTTGAGCTGGATTACCTCACTTCCGGTTTTCCTTCGCAATGGTGTGTATGTGGGGTCGAGTTCTGTATGTTTGCTGATGGCTTTCTTCGTGGAATACCAGGCTTCTAGGAACTCCCGTGTCTGTCTCTGCTTTGCTTGTCCCAAGATATTGGTGTTGTCCCAATCGAATTGGTGGTTCTCCTTATCCACGTGGATAGAGATGAGTGAGTATTGATCGTGTCATTTTTTAAATCAACAAGGTAGGGGTTACCATGGACCAGACTGACCAGCCATCTAAATGGAGTGGCTACAAGAGCACGGTGGCTCAGTGGTTAGCACTGCTGCCTCACAGCACCATGAACTCGGGCTTGATTCCACCCTCAGGTGACTAGATGTTATCTGGGTCTCTGGATTAACTGTCCAGCGATAATACCACTAGGCTATTGCCTCCCCTAAATTAGTTTCAATTCTCTCTGCAACTGATGTGCACACACAGATACCATTCTCTAGGATCCAAGTTCAACTTTGAAGCCAGCATTTCTCATTCCTTCCCTGCATCATTGACAAGGCCAGCAATTGTTATAATCTGTCCCTAATTACATTGGAGGAGGTGATGGTGAAATGCCTTCCTGAATTGCTGTGGTCTGCGGTGTAGGGACAATTAATGTGCTGTTAGGGAGGGAGTTCTAGAAGTTTGGCCCGGCAACACTGAAGTTTTGAAGAAGGGTGACTGGACCCGAAATGTAAACTCTGTTTTTTTTCCTTCACAGATGCTGCCAGACCTGCTGAGTATTTCCAGCAACTTTGTTTTTGTTCCTGATTTACAGCATCCGCAGTTCTTTCGGTTTTTATTTAGTGTTTACCTCAGTGCCACATCTCTTCTAAGCATGCCCACCTTGAAGAAGTTCTGCTCTTCTCTCCGACGGGATTTCTATTCCAATCTTTCTTCTTGCCCAACGACTTTAATTTCACTGTCACTCCTGGTGTTTGACCAGGTATTTGCTAAAACTCGTTTCCACAGCCATATCACATTCCTCAGAGACTGCCGCCGGCTCAGACTCACCCCACATGGATTCCAACTGAAGTTTCATCCCTCATGTTTTGAATCCTCCCAGGATAACAGGTATCTCCGTGATGTTCAACGTTCCACAGACAGCTGCTCTCGCCGTATCCTGAGACCCACACTCAGTGCCATGCGGCGCCACATGCACACTCTCAACGCTCTCAACCTTTCTGTCCAACAGCATCGCAATGTGCTGCCTCAGGGCTGCACCACTCCACAGTTCCACTTCATCCTCTGGCTGATTTGTTGTGCCAACAAGAAACTTTCACTTTTTCTTTCAGGCACCAAGGCCCACAAGATACAACAACTCAAAAATACCCATGGCTCTCTGGAATCTTCCTCTCCTCACCTTCCCTCTGATGCTATCTCCTCCCTCAACTGCACCCCCCCGCCACCTCCTGTCGGGTATTCACCATCCCACCTATCCTTCTGCTCTCCGATGCTGAATGCTCCGTACTCAGCAAAGGCTTTATCCCTCTGCGTCCTCACCTTAACGAATTTTGGGCACGACATGACGTCGAACCCTTCTTCCACCGTCTTTGCCTCCGTGCTCATTTCTTTGGACAAGAGTCCCCTCCCCATCCCACAGACTCCTTTGCCCAACTCCAACACTTTCCCTCCACCTGGACCCCTCCTTCCGGTCTTTTACCTGCACTCGATCTGTTCATTGAGAACTGTTGACGTGACATTTGTCGCTTCAATTTCTCTGCCCCCCTCACCAAATCCAACCTGTTCTGAGGAAGGGTCACCGGACCCGAAACGTTGACTCTGTTTTTTCCTTCACAGATGCTGCCAGACCTGCTGAGCTTTTCCAGCAACTTCTGTTTTGGTAACACTGAGGTCAGCTCATTAGGTTGCGTTATTCAATGTCCCAGCAGCCCAGATTGTGCAGGAGGTTCTGGAGCTGTGTTGGTGCAATCTAAGAACACGTGGGGTGCTTGCATGAAAGTTTGTTAAACCATTAAATGTAATTAAAGGAAGGACGGTTATTTGCATTGTATCATGTCTCAAAGGAGAGCACATATTCACAGTAAACCCATTTTGTTTGGGTTGCGTGATGAAGGAGGTTATTAGACAATTCTTGTTGAGCTCACTATCACATCACCTGCCATCCCACAGAGACTGTATCGCCCACACAAGCTGTCACAGACTGACAATTCCACATCCAGATTGTCGTTCAGAGACTGAGATTGTTCAAGAGATGAAGGCATTGTCACATACACTCACATACAGAGGCTAACTTCTCACTGACAGACTAAGCGAGGAAGACAAAACACTGTCAAGTAGCAGACAAATAGGGCAGAATCTTCCCAGGCCTTGAACATTGGCAAGTAATTTGGGAGAATCATGTGAAACTCAGCTTCCCACTGTTTAGAGTAAAAAGTCCCATTTTCCAACCAAGTGAGGAAGAGAGAAATGTGATTTTCGTCAGTGGGCAGCAAGAGGGCTATTTGTTGGAGCAAATTACTGCAGATGCTGGAATCTGTCCTGGAACCAAAAAATGCTGGAAATCACAACTAGTGAGACAGAGCGAGCTAACGTTTTGAGTCGAGATGACATCGGTGGTGGGCAAGGTTATTGGTTGGAACCCTGAGGGCTAGGATTTACATGTATTTGGAAAGGCAAGGACTGATTAGGGATGGTCAACATGGCTTTGTGCATGGTAAATCATGTCCCACAAACTTGAGTTTTTTGAAGAAGTAACAAAGAGGACTAATGAGGACAGAGTAGTGGATGTGATCTTTATTGATTTTTGTAAGGCATTCGACGAGGTTCCTCATGGTCGACTGGTTAGTAAGGTTCGATCACACAGAATAGAGGGAGAACTAGCTACTTGGATACTGGACTAACTCAAAGGTAGAAGACAGAGACTGGTGATGGAGAGTTGCTTTTCAGACTAGAGGCCTGTGACCATTGTGCCACAAGGATCGGTGTTGGTCCACTGCTTTTTGTCATTTATATAAACGATCTGGGTGTGAACATAGGAGGTATGGTTAGTAAGTTTGCAGATGGCACTAAAATTGGAGGTGTAGTGGACAGCGAAGAAGGTTATTTCAGAGTACAACAGGACCTTAATCAGATGGGCCAATGGGCCGAGGAGTGGCAGATGGAGTTTAATTTAGATAAATGTGAGATGCTACATTTTGGACAAGCAAGTCAGGGCAGGACTTATAAACTTAATGTAAGGTCCTGGGGAGTGTTGCTGAACAAAGAGACCTTGGAGTGCAGGGTCACAGTTACTTGAAAGTGGAGTCACAGGTGGATAGGACAGTGAAGGAGGCATATGGTATGCTTGCCTTTATTGGTCAGTGCATTGAGTATAGGAGTTGGGAGGTCATGTTGCAGCTGTACAGGTTTACAAGGGTATTGCCAGGTTTGGAGAGTTAAGCTATAGGGAGAGGCTGAATAGGCTGGGGCTATATTCCCTCCAGCATCAGAGGCTAAGGGTTGACCTTATAGAGGTTTATAAAATCATGCGGGGCATGGATAGGGTAAATAGAGAGGGTCTTTACCCCAGGGTAGGGGAGTCCAAAGGTTTAACGTGAGTGGAGAAAGTTTTAAAAGGGACCCAAGGGGCAACTTTTTCATGCAGAGGGTGGTGCATGTGTGGAATGAGCTGCCAGAGGAAGTGTTGGAAGGCATCTGGATAGGTACATGAATAGGAAGGGTTTAGAGGGATATGGGCCAAATGCTGGCAAATCGGACGAGATTTATTGAGGATATCTGGTCAGTGTAGACAAGTTGGACTGAAGGGTCCACTTCTGTGCTGTGTATCTCTATGGCTCTATGACTCTTCAGCAGAGCCTCTTGAGAGGCCTATTTGCATGTACTAGCATGCATTAACATCCTAATTATTAATTAACCTCACTTTATTGATATGCAGTTTCCCATTCTCTTCACAAAACCTAGATGGTGACAACTGCTGACATGAAGGTTGGAGTGAACAGTTGGTTAAATCATACAATCCCTACAGTGTGGAAGCAGGCCATTCAGCCCATCGAGTCTAAAGTGACCCTTCAAAAATGCACCCCACTCAGACCCATCCCCTACCCTATCCCTGCATTTCCCACCCTAGACACAATGCCCGGAGGAAACCCACGCAGACACGGGGAGAATGTGCAAGCTGCACACAGCTGGAATCAAACATGGGTCCCTGGCACTGTAAGGCATCAGTGCTAACCACTGAGCCACTGTGCTGCCCTAATCATAGAATCCCTACAGTGCGGAAGCAGGCCACTCAGCCCATATCGACCCTCCAAAGAGCATCCTGCCCAGACCCACCCGTTACTGTTTAACCCTGCATTTCCCATGGCTAATTGACTCAGCCTGAACATCTCTGAACACTATGAGCAATTTAGCATGGCCGATTCACCCTAACCTGCACGTTTTTGGACTGTGCGAAGAAACTGGAGCACCCAGAGGAAGCCCACGCATACACAGGGAGAATG